AATCACAAAAGACAAACATGCTATGTACTCACTCATATGTGGATTTTTGACATAGAGTAAAGGATTACCAGCCTACAATACACACTGCAAGAGAAGCTAATAAACAAGGAGGTCCCTAAGAGAGACATACATGGTCCCCTGGAGAAGGAGAGAGGGTCAGGATCTGCTGAGTAAATTGGGAGCATGAGAAGAGGGGGGAGGGAGCTAAGAGAATGAGAAGGGGAGAGGAAGAGGGATGCAGAAAGGTTGAGTCAGGGGAAGAACAGATGATAACAAGAATGAAGATATCCTAATAGAGGGAGACATTTTTGGTTTACAGAAAAATCAGGCACTAGGGAAATGTCTGGAGATCTACAAAGATGACACCAGCTAACAATCTAAGCAACGGAGGAAAGGCTACCTTAAATGCCCTCCCCTGATAATGAGATTGATGACTGACTTATATGCCATCCTATAGCCTTCATCCAGCAGCTGGTGGAAGTAGAAGCAGACACCCACAACTAATCACTGAACTGATCTGGAATCCAGATGCAGAGAAGGACGAGTGAAGAACACAGGGGTCCAGACCAGGCTGGTGGAACACACAGAAACAGCTGACCTGAACATCCGGGAACTCTTGCTCCCCAGACTGATAGCTGGAATACCAGCATGGGACTGATCCAGACCCCAGGAACATGGGTTTCTGTGAGGAAACCTCAGAAATCTACGGGACCTCCTGGAGAAGTTTAGTACTTAACCCTAGCATAGGTGTGAACTTTGGGAGCCCATTCCACGTGGAGGTATACTCCCTGAGCCAACACACAAGGCCTAGGCCCTATCCCAAAGGATACAAAAGACTCTGATGACACCCTATGGAAGGCCTTACCATCCAGGGGGAGCAGAAAGGATATGTGATAAATAGGGTTTTAGTTGGGGGAGGGGTGGTAGGGGAGGACAGGTGGGAGAAGGGAACTGGGATTGTCATGTAAAACAATCCTGTTTCTAACTCAAATTTAAAAAGTTGGAAAAAAAAGTTATAAGAGCTAGTAGGATAAGCCTAAGCTAAAGTTAAGCTTTCATAATTAATAATAAGTCTTCATGTCATTATTTGGGAGCTGGTGGTACAAAGATGTGCTACAGTTAACATTATTTAAATTTATAATCATCTTCCATGAATCTCTAATATGAGAAAAAGTAGTATATCATAAATACAGAAACAAAATAAATAAATAAATCAATAAATACATAAATTATACCAAAATACCTGGATTTTTTTTCTTTTCTTCTTTTCTTCTTTTGTCATGTTTCTCTTCGTCTATTTCATTTAATAACATTTCTGGTATCTAAAATGCAGAACATTTCTTTACCACTGAATAAAGTGTAACCCAAAATATACCCTTTAACTAATGCTGAGCTTCTCTCACTGATTTATGACAAGGCACAGAGCCTCTTAGAGGCTCTATGTAAATACTTGTGGGGAACAGTGCATTTGGGAGAATACCTGTGAGGGAAGCATGTGCAAGCCACCAGAGGGCAAGCCCACGTGTCATTCCCAGGAGTGCTGCATTCCCCCTCTGTGGAGACAGGGTTTCTCACTGTGCTGGAGCTCACCAATCAGGCCAACTGCCTGCCTAAGGACCCACCCATCTGCTTCCCCAGAGTTGGGATTGTAAGCATGCAGAACCACCCCCAACTTTGTACTTGGCTCTGGGAGATCACACTTGGTGCCCAAATCAGTCCCCATGTTCCATGGTGAGCCTGTACCTTTGGGTTTCTCACCATTCTACCAAGACACTTGCCTTCCAGGCTGAGTCCCACTCAACACCAACATCCTCCCGGCCCCTGCTCCAATCCAACCTCCAGGGACTAATTCACCTCTACATTGTCACTCCTCTTTCAGACCCTGACTTTCACCTTAGCAGCTTACATTCCTTGGTAAAACATAATTTCATTTGTACAAGTGTCCTCAGCACCCCTCCTCAAACTTGTTTCAACACACTCAAGTAGAAAACCACGTTAGCTACAGATGGCTTCAGAAAAAACACACAACTGTGCTGGCCTCAAGCAAATAGACTCAAGCTCTCCCTCCTCTCATTCTCACAGACTCTGTCTTTGTGCATCTCCTCAGGCCTGCCAAGTATCTTCTCTCATCCTTCACCTCAAGGAGTAGCATCACTTCTGAATTAGGGAGAAAACAGAGACTATATCCAGAATTTCATAGCTGCTCACTTTCTATTCACACAGGCTAAAGCAATATGCCTGCCCTCTATTTGTCTGCGATGTAACACCACACTACTCTGAAATGCACCAGATACGATACAGATTTCTATTATACAAAATAAGTAAGCAAATGGGAGTATGAATATTACTCAAAGAACAATGTCTAAGGTTATTAGTGATTCAGATAAAGTAAAATAAGCAGATTGTAGTTAGAATGGTGCTATGAACTCACACATTAAACTCAATTTTGGTTGCCCACCCTTCCCCTCTGTCCCCACTCCCTATTCCACACCTCCTCTTTATTTGCTCAGAAATGGGCAGGCCTCCCCTGGCAGCAGCAAAGCATGGCTTATCAAGCTGCCTTAAGATCAAGCACTTCCTCTGTATTCAGGCTGAGCAAGGCAATCCAGCATGGGGAACAGGCTCCCAAGAACCAGTCAAAGCACCAGGGACAGCTCCTGCTCCCACTCACACGAGTCCCACAAATAGATCAAGCTACACAACTGTCACATATAGGCAGAGGGCCCAGGTCAGTCCCACGCAGGTTCCCTGGTTGTTGGTTCAGACTCTGTGAGTTCCCATGAGCCAGGCTCGCCATTCTCTGGGTTTTCCTGAAATGTTCCTGACACCCCCAGGCTCCCACAATCCCTCCTCCCTTTCCTCAGCAGGACTCTCTGAGCTCTATCCAGTGTTTGGCTGTGGGGCTCTGAATCTGCCTCCATTGGAGGCCACTGGATGAAGGCTCCCCAATGACAATAGGGGTAGTCACCAATCTGATCACAGGGGATGGCCAGTTCAGGCTATACATCCACTACTGCCACCAGTCTTAGCTGGGGTCATCCTTGTAAACTCAGTGGGAGTTTCCCATGCATCAGGCTTCTACCTGACCCCATAAAGCCCCCAATACCAATCATCCCTCTCAGCACTCTCCCCCTCCACTCACCCCCAACCCAGTCCCTCAAGTTCCCATGTTTATAAGCCCCCAGTCCACCCAGGAGAGCTCTATCCAGCCCCTTGATGTGCTTTTTATTTTCTTTTGGTTTTTAGAGACAGGGTTTCTTTGTGTGGCTTTAGAGCCTGTCCTGGTACCAGGCTGGCCTCAAACTCACAGAGATCCATTTATCTCTGACTCCCAAGTGCTGAGATTAAAGGTGTGTGCCATCAGGCTCTCAATGTGTTTTTAAAAAGATCTTCACTTTGTAAAATTCTTACTATACTAAGTTTTGTTTTGTTTTTTAATTTTATTTTTTAAATTGTAGGCTAGTGCCTGTAAGGCTACTAAATCCAAAGCATAGAATTTTTAAAAAGATAACTGTCACTTTATTCCATTAAAATTTCTATACTCAACTAAAAATTTTCATCTAAAATTCTATAGTCAACTAAACTATCCCAAGAATAGAAAGAAAACAGAGATACTTCCAGACATAGTGGAAATGCCCAGGGCCTCAGTTAGCGCAAACTAGCAGCAAATACAAACTGAAAGTGACCTCAAGTAGAACAAGCTTGGCTCTCACATCTGCATGCTTCAACATCAGAACATACCTTCTTCAGCTGGGTGGCCCACTCCTTTAAACCCAGAACTCGGGAGGCAGAGGCAGGCAGATCTCTGTGAGTTCGAGGCCGGCCTGGTCTACAGAGTGTGTGACAAGGACAGGCTCCAAAGCTACAGAGAAACCCTGTCTCAAAAACCAAAACCAAACCAAACAAAAAAAGAACCTACCTTCTTCATACTGCTGTCTGACCAGCCCTCCATCCACAGCACCTGGCATTTCTTATTCAAAGCTGGATTGCTCTCACAGTTTATTATGAAGTTAATATTTGCAGAGTCCATAATCAAGACAATATGCAAGTTTTGTTGAATTCCTAAAAAATTTGTGAGAAACCGTAATCATGGAAAATTATAAGAACTTATATAGGGACTGGTTTTGTGATAAACATTTTTCATAAATGAAACAGTAGGAGTTGCTTATGGGAAAGAGCAAAATACAAAGTAGTACTAAGGCGAGATTTTTCATACTTGTTAAAAAAAAAAATACTTGCTTCCTCGAGGAAGTGGCCCCTGGCAGATTGCCTAAGAGCCAGTATCTGGTCTCATGCCAATGGAAACAAGGACAACATGACTGGACTCAGTGGGTTACGAAAAGAAGACACCCATTTTGGGAGTAGGTAATGGTAGGAAAGCCTAGGAGTTAGATGGGGAACAAGGAGTTGGCATCATCAAGATACACAGTATATGTGTATGAAATTCTCAAAGACTGAATAGAACATATTTGTACACCTGTGTTATTATGAGGCACACATGTTAAAAAAAGATTCATAAAGATATCATATAGGAATTGCCAGGTTCTGTGATTTATACTTTTAAAAAATTCTATTTTATTTCCATAGTGCACAAGAAACTGCTTCTGTATAAATTAGTTACTTAGCATTTTAAAACACTATAAAGACTGCCTTATTCAAGACAAGACCTACTACTACAATAAGTATAATAGAATCAAATGAAAATGCAGACAGTAAGGCTAGTATTCCAAAAACATCACTGTAATTCCAACATTTCCTAAGATATTATTATTACAGGCTTCTTCTGTGCTTTCTATAACAGAAAAGGTAACAATTATCAAAGAACTCTAAGCTTAAAGATGCTTTCACAATCTGATAAAAAAAGTAAGGCAAATTAAATTGTGGAGAGCTAAGGAAGTGCTGAGTGAATACGACTGCTTTACAAGTACATGGCCATGTTAAGGACCAATGCCTCAGGCCATGAGAAGTGACAAAGCCGCACCCCTTCCCCTGGTCAGGCTTAGAGCAATGGCAAAATCTTTCTGAGGACTAGGTGCAAATGTTGACAGTGTGCAAAAGTATGAGTTTTTACCAATGATTGAGCAGTGTGTGCAAAACTAGTAAGTGCACCTCCTACCTAGGCTAGCTAAGTCTGCCTCCTCTGCTGTACATAATAATCACACTGAGGTTCTGGGATATTGTACAGTAGGAACCACTCCACTAGAGCAAGCATGGCACACCTGTCCCAATTTCTCTGTACAGACATTTGTCATTTATTAAGTTTACTAATTTTCTTCATTCCCTCCCCACCCCTAATCAGGCCAGGGTACCAAGCTGTGCAGAACACCATATTAAATCCTATTTATTTCACTACAAGCAGAATGTAAACTTAGTAATGTACTCTCTGCCTCTTACTGAATGTGAAGTAATTGAAGACTGGTCCAAAGAAGCCATCCTGGGATGCCTGATCTTTCACATGTGACAGCAAAGGCTCGAGCTCTTCCAGAGTATACAGTCCAGGGACCTCACCTGTGGAAGAATATTACATTTCTTTTCTATTGTGATTAGCATATACCAATTCGAAACAAATTTTACATCCAAAATGCTTTTCAATTTTTACATTAAATTTTTCTGTTCAGTCATTACCAGAGGTATTAACAATAACTTGTACATAATCCTTGGTTTTATGAAGCATGAGATATCAATTCTTCTAGGACCTTAGTAACAGCTATGTTTAAGGTTCCTTGTAATACAGGTAAACTTAATGAAGTGACTTTAATTGGTTAACTTTTACAATAGAACTTGTATTTGCTTCATAGGAACCATTCACTTGCCTGAAGACAAAAGGCTATTGATCATCTCCAAAAATGTAGGATGTACAAACTGGTAATCCTCAAGAAGTAAGACAACTTGCTGTGACTCGATCCCTGCGAGATGCAGCACCTGCAAAACAAGGGAAAGACCAGTCCTCTCACTGACTTTTGGAGCAGTTAAAGGTTATGACCCTTGACTGGCATGACAACATACCCTTGAACACAGTCTTGAGGAGTGAAATAGGCAGTGTCCATGTGAGGCTGGCCATGGCACACAAGTTCCAGGGCAGAGGGACCCTCTGCACAGGGAAGTGACTATTTACAAGTGTTTGGTTGATGTTGGTTTGGTGTCACTACTGCTAGCATTATTTCTGAGACACAGGGTCTTGCTATGTGTCTCAGGCTGGCCTTGAACTTGCCAGGATCCTGCTGCCTTTTCCTCCCAGTTGTACATGCCTAGCTTACTAGTGCCTATTTACCAACTTAATTAGAACTGAGAAACAGAAAGGAAATAATATTTTAACTGTATTATTTGGAAGGTAAATTAAAGTTGTCAATAATTATTACTTGAAGGAAAATTCATTTTAGAAGTCACTGAAGCAAAAACTAGATCATACTTCCTTAAGTATACTTCCTTAAGTATAGTATACTTCCTTAAGTATACTCTTTCTACACAACTATGTAATCCTGTTTATCACCCAACTTGACATCCCATGATCTCAGATGCCCACAACCTGGATATCCCAACAGGAATCTCCCATGTACAAATGAAGATTTAGTGAAAAATAAAATTAAAATTAAAAGGAAAACTGTGTTACATGAGGGAGTCTTAAAAGTTTACTAACTAGCAAGATTTAAAACCAAATAAAGGAAGACAATGTCCACAACTCACATGTTTGAGATCATTTCTGAACTGCTTTGGCTCATAGCCTCTGGAAATCTTTGGGGAGAAGAGCACTGCGCCATGCATGTGACTGACTATAGATGTGGCAGTCCGCCCCACGCCACTTCGTCCTGCCAACAGAAGTGAGCCTCCGGGGAAACTTAGCACTCTGTCTATCCTAGACATATATTCCAGAACTTCTTGGAAAAGCAAAATATCTAAATTCTGGTTATCTCGTCCATAGTGAATAAGACCCTTTGAAAACAAAACAGATTTTATAATTAATGTAATTTCTAGTTATACAACAAAACATTACTTTACTGAGGCTGGAGAGATGGCTCAGAAGTCTTGCTGGATATGGGTTTTGTTACCAGAATCCTCATGGCCTGTAACTGCAGTTCCAGGACATCTGATTCATTCCTCTGACCTGCACAACTCCTGTGTACACGCTCTCATGAAGTCCACACACACACACACAAACACACACACACACACACACACACACACACACACACAGTCTCACACACACGTAAATAAATATATCTTTTTAAAATATTACTTATTTACAGTAAAATATTATATATTTGACACTTTCAAGAAAAGGGTAAAGTGACTATTTTATTTCACATCTAAAATTTTACTATGCAATAACCCAACCTTGTAGGTATATGAAAAACTCATGACACAAGTTCAAGGGTGAACAAAATTCAACTAGCTTTGGACAGCACCACAGCTGAACTGGGTTTTGTTCCCCGTACACATGAAGGGCTGCCCTCACAGCCTAACTTAGCTGTAGCTCTGGTGGGTCTGACATTGTCTTCTGGCCTCCAAGGGTACCCACAAGCATAAGTTACACACAATAAAAAAGAATGTATATGTCACAGTGCTTCTTCTTCCTTACAACTAAACTGAAAGCAAGGGGGTGGGGATAAAGCAAAAGGGGCAGAAGGGAAGGAGGTGGAAGGGCAAAAGAAAGACCAGGAAGAAGAAACTGCACAGAAGATGGAGACTCACAATCTCTAGCCTTCACCAGGTGACCTGACACTGATGATGCCACCCTGGGGCCCACCTATTCTGTCTTTCACCAGGTGACCTTGACATTGTGGTGTGACACTCTCCATTGCAGGATTGCTTCCCAATCACTATTCTCATTGCTATCCCAATGGTAATTAATACTGTCTTTAAAAAATCTTAGTAATTTTACATACATTCTTGTATCTAGTAACGTCTGCCAGAAAGAACTAAAACTTCAAAGAGTAGGACAGGTTCTGTCTATTGTGCGATCTTTCATTTCACGTACTCAAAATTTCCCAACAAATACCTTAACCAAACCTTACTTCCAGGCATGATTCCCATACCTTCTTAATGACATCCTTCAGGTCTGCAGAGGTCAGTTTGCCAAGTGGTTTCCCATGTGGAGGTAATGGCTGTCCTGGAAGTGTGTTTGTTACTGAGCTATGTCGGGCTCCCCATGTAACATAGTAGCTATCTGCAGAAAACATGTTGTTGATATGTATCACTAGTGATGAGAAAATCAGCAGCCCTATTATTTACTAAATTATTTTTAGTTACTCATTAAAATTGTCTCCAGGAATAATATAAAGGTAGGTTATACTAAATGGATTAACATAGCTACTTGGAATGCCAAATAAAACCAGGAAAGATACTAAAATCACAAATTTATAACACCACAATTAGCCTAAGGACTATCAGAGTTAAATGCTTTCATTATACTCTTTATCTATTTTTAAAATATAATTATGATTTGAGAATTTCGTCTACTTATTAGTGTGTTTTGTTCATTTTGATCCCCATACCTTCTTCCACCTCCCCTTAGAGCCCTCAATCATTTTTTTTCCAACTTCATACTCTCTTTTTGTTGTTTTATTACTAATAACTCAGAGACAAGTTAGTGCTGCCTACTGTGCATGGGTATGGAGTTATTCACTAGAGCATGGACGACCATGGCATATCCCCAGTGAAAGTGACTTTCCTTCAGCCTCCATCAAATCCACCACGGGTGAAACCACGAGGGTCCCTTCCCAACTCTTGCTGGATTCTGTCAATGCACCAGACCACCACTTCTCTCTTCACATGAAGCCGCTTCCTTCTAACTTCCCCTTTATTCCCTAATCTACTAATTGCTTATCTCACTTGCTTCCCCATAACTGTGATAATTGATTCCATCAACTTGAAATGATGGAGAATCACCCAGGAGACCAGCCATTGAATGTCGATGTGGGATTTTTCGGATTAGATTAGCGGAGGCAGGAAGACCCACCCTATCTGTGGGCAGCACCATCCCATGAACTAAGGTCTGAGATAACACTAAAAAGGGAGCAAGCAGGGGGTATACTGGCAGCCATGGCTCTCTGCATCCAGACTATGGCTGCGCTGTGACCAGCTACCACCCTGACTTCCGTGCCATGATGGAACCTAAAATGTTGAGCCAAAACAACCCCGTGCACACATTGCTATTGCTACGGATTTTGTCACAGCAAAAAGAAAAGTATCTAATGAAGAAAATCTCCACATCGTATTGGTAAAATGAAAATAACCTACCTAAAACTGACAAAACAAACACAAAATGTTTCCTATGAAAGAATATTGGTTTACTGATATCACCAAAGGACCCTACCTTCTAAAATAAAGAAAAATTAATAAGCAAAGTTGAATTAGAAATAAAAAATCCCCTAAACTTCTCAGATTTATAGGATAATTCACATTATCTTAAAAGGAAATTAGACCCAGCATTTGACTGAATGTGTCCCTTTCTTCCTCCTCACAAGCTTAGTTCTCCTGTGCTCCAACATCACAGTCATTTTCCCTGCTGAGGCCTAAGCAACCAAGCTCCTCTTACCTTCATCATCTCCTTTTTAAGTGCAGTGTATAAAGTCAACTACAAACAATGAAACTTTTTATCTGCACATCAACATTGTGGCAGTTTGAATGAAAATGACTCAAAGGCTCATAGGAAGTGGCACTATTGGGAGGTGTGGCCTTATAGGAGTAGTTGTGGCCTTGTTGGAGTAAATATCACTGCGGACAAGCTTTGAGGTCTCAGGTGCTCAAGCCAGGCCCAAGTCTATCCCTGCTGCCTAGAGATCAAAAACTCTAAGCTCCTTCTCTAGCACCATGTTTGCCTGTCTACCACCATGCTTCCCTCCATGACGATAATGGACTGAATCCCTGAACTGTAGGCTAGCCCCAATCAAATGTTTTCCTTTATAAGAGGTGAGTGGTCATAGTATCTCTTCACAACAATAAAACCCTAACTAAGACAGAAGTTGGGTCTTTAAAGAAAGAAATTAAAAAAAATACCAGAAAAAGGAAAGATCTCCCATGCTCTTGGATAGGTAGGATCAACACAGTAAAAAATGGCAATCTTGCCAAAAGCAATCTACAGATTCAAGATCAAAATCCTAGCACAATTCTTCACAGACCTTGAAAGATCAATACTCAAATTTATATGGAAAAACAAAACAAAAACAAAAACAAAAACAAAAAAACCCAAGATAGACAAAACAACCCTGAACAATAAAGGAACTTTGGGAGGCACCACCATCCCTGACTTCAAGCTCCATTATAGAGCCATAGTCCTGAAAACAGCTTGGTATAGGCAAAAAAATAGGCAGGTAGACCAATGGAATCAAATTGAAAATGCTGATATTAACCCACACACCTACAAACACCTGATTTTTGACAAAGAAACTAAAGTTATCCAATGGAAAAAAAGAAAGCATCTTCAACAAATGGTGCTGGCATAACTGGATTCGGACATGTAGAAGATTACAGATAGATCCATATCTATCACCATGCATAAAACTTAAGTCCAAATGGATCAAAGACCTCAACAAAAATCCAGCCACACTGAACCTCTTAGAAGAGAAAGTGGGAGGTACCCTTGAACGAATTGGTACAGGAGACCGCTTCCTGAGCATAACACCAGTAGCACAGACATTGAGATTGACAATTAATAAATGGGACCTCCTAAAACTGAGAAGCTTTTGTAAGGCAAAGGACACAGTCACCAAGACAAAATGGCAGCCCACAGAATGGGAAAAAAATCTTCACCAACCCCACATCTGACAGAGGGCTGATCTCCAAAATATACAATGAACTCAAGAAGCTAGTCACCAAAACACCAAACAATCCAATTAAAAAGTGGGGTGTAGAACTAAATAGACAATTCTCAATAGAGGAATCTAAAATGGCTCAAAGTGGTGGAGCACGCCTTTAATCCCAGCACTCACGAGGCAGAGGCAGAAGGATCTCTGTGAGTTCGAGACTAGCTTGGTCTACAAGAGCTAGTTCCAGGACAGCCTCCAAGCCATAGAGAAACCCTGTCCCCCCCCCCCCCCCCCCCGTGCCAAAAAATAAAACAACAGAGAGTGCTCAACATCCTTAGGCATCAGGGAAATACAACTCAAAACAACTCTGAGATACCAACTTACACCAGCCAGAACGGCTAAAATAAAAAACACCAATGACAGTTTATGCTGGAGAGGATGTGGAGAAAGAGGAACACTCCTCCATTGCTGGTGGGAATACAAACTTATACGACCACTTTGGAAATCAATATGGTGGTTTCTCAGGAAAACAAATCAATCTACCTCAAGATCCAGTAATTCCTCTCTTGGGCATATACCCAAAGAATGCACATTCATACAATAAGGACATATGTTCAACTATGTTCATAGTAGCATTGTTTGTAATAACCAGAACCTGGAAGCAACCTAGATGTATCTCAGCTGAAGAATGGATAGAGAAAATGTGGTACATTTACACAATGTAGTACTACTCAGTGGAAAAAAACAATGGAATCTTGAAATTGCAGGCAAATGGATGAAACTAGAAGAAACCATCCTGAGTGAGGTAACCCAGTTACAAAAAGACAAACATGGTATGGACTTTAGACAGAGCAAAGGATTACCAGCCTACAATACACACTGCCAGAGGAGCTAGGAAACAAGGAGGACCCCAAGAGAAGATCTCATGGCTCCTTGAAGAAGGGGAGGGACACAAGAACCCCTGAGCAAACTGGGAGCATGGGGGTGTCAGGGGATGAGAACAAGAGGAATGAGACAGGGCCACTACAGGTCCGAGAAGAGATCTGGAACTAGGGAGATCTCCAGAGACCTACAAGGATGACACAATCTGACAATCAGGCAATGGAAGAGAGGATAACCTAAAAGCCCTTCCCCTAAAATGAGATTCATGACTATTCTTTATGCCATCCTAGAGCCCTCATCCAGTGGCTAATGGAAGCAGAGACAGACATCCACAGAAATACACTGAGCTGGAATCTGGAATCTAGTAGAAGAGAGGGAGTAATGAAGAGAGAAAGGGTAAGTACCAGGTTGGAGAAATCCACAGAAACAGTTGGCCTGAACAAGGGAGAGCACACTGACCCCAGATGCTATATGGGAGGCCAGTACAAGACTGATTCCAGCCCCCTGAACATGGATGCCAATAAGGAGGCCTCTG